CCCCCCCCCCCCCCCCAGCCCCAGGTGCCCTCTGCTTGTCCTGCCCTGCCGCGTGGGGCAGTGCTTTTTGGCCCGTTGTCAAAGGGGCCGTGGCCTCCAAGCCCCACTTAAATCTTTCGGAGCGGCTTTCCAGCGCAACAAGGTTAATCGCCCTCCTTTTCAAACGGGAAGGAGTGAAATTTCCAAGCCAAATGTTAATACAGCTGTTAAAATGGTCTTATGGGCCTCCCATTTCATTTTTACAGCAGTGGGAAATTAATAACAAGTCAATTTAATCTCATTACAGTTAATTACACAGGCCTCCCCCCCCCCCAAGAGATGGGAGGAAAGAGCATTAAATGAATAATTCCCTCCTTTCTTTATTTACTCTAGCATTTCTCATATGGGAAAGGTTGATCTTAAGCGGGGGGAGGCAGCGAGAGCTGGGCTTTCACCCATCAAACAGCCGGCGGGTGGATATAGATGAGGGATATATAAACTGTTTCTGGAGTTCAGGAGGTCATTGCTGATGGGATGCACAGGGCAGGTGTAGCCTCGCTTAATCTTCAGGGGCTTTTGCCACATTCGGAGTATTTTTAGCAAACACCAAGAGAAAAATGCTTTCAAGAGGGAGGAAGCTGCCTGGTAGGTAGTGCTCCTTCCCCTCTGCACAGTAACCATTGTGCTGTGCTGTGCTGTACATTGGTCTTTTCCACCTCAAACCTTGCACAACATTTTGGGGAGGGCTGTTTGTGTTTTAAATGGCAGGTCCTGCCTGCCTCCTCACATTCGGTTGCATGCAACAGCTTTATCAGAGACTACTGGGGCAGGTGCAGTGGGTAGAGGAAGAGTGCTCAACTGTTGTTATTTCATATAGCTTCCTGACCTTATCACAGCTGACAGTGGTGACATTTGGAGAACTGGAAGGATGGAGGGCAGCAGTGGCTCCTTGAAGTTCTTTGAATTGGGTATTACCTCTGTACCCCCAGGTGGAGGATGGGGTGAGAAACCCACCTCCAAAAGGCAGAAGCACACAGCGCTGGGCACAGGTCATGCAGCACCACTGATGGGGAATGAAACACTGGTTTGGGCCCTGTGGAGGATTTGTACTGAAGATTAATTTATACTGAACTAATCAAATGGGAATAGGATATTGGGAGCGGTTTGGTGGTCCTGTCCGTAAAGCTGCAGTTTGTCTGCTTCTAATAACAGGGGCTCCATGTATTAGTGGGAAATGTAAATGCAGGCAAAGTTCCCGAAATCTAGAATGGTTGTTTTGCATAACCAGTGTTTGGTAATGAATACAATTTACAGCTTTAAATGATATTTCCAATATACTTACCAGCAACTTTGCGTCGTACTGCTAGCCACAGATAACCTGGGGGTGGGAATCACTGAAAAGAAATGCAAGCACCCCTTCAATACACGGTGGCTGTGTCATAGGCATTTGCCCTCACTGCAGGTAATGCACAGAGCAGTACATTTCATCTTTGTGAAGGAGGAATGCAGAAAAAGGGAGGGCAATGCAAGGGAAGATTAGTACCTGTCAGTAAGAGAACTGAGTTTTAAAAATGTGAACATAAACTATTTCCCTCAAACTATATTGCTGGAGCATTTTATTTCGAGATGTGTTTATGTAGAGAGGATAGCAGAGGTTTGAGATGGTTAGGAGCAAGTGCCTGAAATGCAGGCTTTGCCACATGCACACCTAAATTGTCTGCATCTTTTTAATAGCGTTGAATGAATGATGTGGCGGAGTCTGAAGTGCTATCAAAATCCCGGATAGACAGATGCAGTTACCACTCCATAAAAGTGGCACCTGTCCTCATTTAACTCTTAGCACTTTCATTCCCTTGCACAAGATTTTCATTCAAGTTGAGAATTTTAAGCTGCATCTCCCAAGATCCAGATCTGTAATCATCTCTTCACTTTGCAGCCAGACCTCTTTTAATCTAGGAACGGTTTACTTAAAATATTTATCTCACTCTCTCCAAAAGATTTAAGGGGCATTTGCTCATATGACGTATGTACCGCTCAGGCTTCAGAAAAGTCAGATTAACAAGGAAGTTTGCAAACTGATTAAACTAGCGTGGCAATACTGAACTGAGAATAAGAACCATTCTAATTGGATCTTACAAAAATTAAGGGTGTATAAACTTGTCTTCATCACTATGAAGAAATTGATTTGCTAGGGATTAATGAAAGGCGGGGAAATGGTAATGACATTTTCTTTGTTTTTTCAGCCTCTGGAGTATTACAGTAGTGATAACAACAAAAAAATCTCTGGATGCTACTTGAATTTCCTTTTTAAAGGGAAAACTCTCCTGCAGTGTTCAGCACACTAAAATCCATCTTTCATGGTTTAATTTTATAAATGCAGCTCTTGTTCATTTGAAGTCAGGCAGTTATAGACTCCTTTTAGCAGGTAAACCTTAATTTATATATTCCAAGTGGAGTGAAATTTGCATTATAAAAACTTACCTTCTCCTCAGTCAGTTCTGGAGAGGGTTGGTATTAAAACTAGAGGAAATTGCCATCATAAAGGCCTCAATTCATTTATTATTTTTTCTTCTAATATTTAAATGAATGCAATATAAAATGCCTTATTCTCACAATTATTATTTAACAAATTCAACCTCCTTTAACTGTACATTTTATAACTCAGTTTCTTTCACTCCTGCTTATCATTGAAAGCTGAAAAGTGTTCCAAATACTGATTTTCATTTATAATGGACCTGGAGTCTGAATTTTTAACCCAGTATATAAAGAATGTGAATTTTCAATTACTTGACAGCAAAATCTTGTAATTAGAATTTTTCCTCTCGACTAGAAGCAGTCAAAGAAGTCTAATTTAATTTTTATAGACTAACCAATTTGTGCCCTTAGTAAAATATAACTCTGTCAGTGAGCAAAATGTTACAGGTTCTCCTGAACCTTATTTAAAAGTTAAATGCAGTATATTAAGATCAAGTTCATGGTCTGAGTCAGTAACCTAATTGATCCAGTCACCCATCCTTGGCAACACGCGTTAATCTATTTGTCCGTTTTGTAATAAAAGGGGGTTACTGATTTACATGCTGTAGTATGTCTGTGTTATAGTCATTGGCATGTAGGCAGTTGCTCCTTCCTTACATTAAGTTAAAGCAATGACAGCTCCAAATATGGCTTAATATTATACCTATACCAACTTCTCACAGATAAGACTGCAGCTCTTAAGAATCTTTTTCATTTACGTTGCAAAATAACTTTCTTAAGAAACCACTCCACAGATTAAGGTAAAATTAGGTTTCAACTTTTTCAGAACTCGCTATACTTACTCAGGGAAATCTCCTGAATTTTAGTATAAAGGCAGTCTGACAGCGTGTATTGTTTTGGACAAGAAATTCTACAAGTATTACAAAAAGTACCAGGCCTTTAAGAAGGATTTTTTTTTTTTTTTAACAAGACCCCAAGTTAAAATAGTTCGTCTATATGAACTATTTAAAAGCAACAGTTTTGAACACAGATTGTCAAAATTAATGATGAATCTAACATTTTCAGGCATATTTATATTTAAATCAGATCAGCCTAAGTATTACCAACCAGATGTTTCCAGTGGTGCTATATACTACCTAGTGTAAAAAAAAAAGTCAAAATCAAGAAGTATGAAGCTGTTAAGCAGGTGACTACTGAGCTAGTATAAAACCCACTGCCCTCCCTACCTGCACTTTGTTTTATATCCACATTGTGATAACACTTAAGGGGCCTATCCAGAATGTACAGAACTAGAGATTTCATGAAATAAAAGAACTAGTATATATTCTTTTACTCAAGTTTTAGTGGAGTTATTTATTAAGTTTGATAGACTAGGGTTTGTCAGTTGGTTACATTACTCAGTTCCACTGGGAGATGCAAAAGGACAGTGCTTCACCACGGGCAAGACATCCCAAGAATTAATTTCTTCATGTAGTCTTTAAGAAGCACCAGTAGCTTTTGCTGTTCGTAGCATTGGAGGCAGCAAAGAGACCATATTGGGTCACTTTTGGTCCCATAGCAACTAACTTAAGGGATACCTTTTTAAGGTTAGCTTTTCAGCTGAAACAGCAGCTGATTTCTGAAGACAGATCATATAGATGAACTGTTTGACAAATGAGTTCATTTCCCATCATATTAATTCCACTTGCAAATATTTCATGGAAACATCAGTAATTGATTTTCTTTCCTAATATGGAGTTTGAACACTAAAACATCAAAGCTGCTGCTTTTCAAAGTGAAAACAGAAACTAAATGCACCACTTGTTGAGACTGAATGAAACCTTTTAGCTATTCATTCATTTATTCTATATAAATGAAGCTGATATTAAAGCAAACCCAACAGTCTTTCTTTTATTGAAAATGAGCTAACCATGTAAGGGTTGATCCAATGTCAATAGGAGTCTTCAGAGCCATGAACTCTGATAGGCTTTGAAATCAGACCTACAGAGCAGGTTAAGAAAAGGTCACCTTTTTTTAAATCTCCAAATGGAGAAATCGTACACCCAACACTAAGGTGTACTACAAAATGATTACTCATAAAGAAATGATTTTTAAAAAACAGATTAAACTTGCAATACAAGAGTGTAAAGAACCAAATATAGTTGGGGGTGTGTGGGATAGTAAGGAGAGAAAGACTAAATTTAATAAATGAAACAAGAATATTTGAGTAGCATAGATTCATAGATTCATAGATTAAGGGTCGGAAGGGACCTAG